AAGGGCAACATATTGTAGGCCTACAACAACCTAGCACCTACCCACATCAACACCAGCCTATCACCTATCCAAGCTAGAGATTATCCCATCAACCACGAACCTAGTGCCAATGCCGGCACACCAACCTAGAACTGAGTCACCCAGCGCCAACCTAGCGCCTTTTGGGTTGGTTTAGTTAGGGTTAGGGCTGTAGCGTTAGGGATTTTAGCCGATTTCATGTAGTTGCTGGTTGGAGAGGCAGAAAACTGCGCCTGCCTGTAGTAGAGCGGCAGGTGAAACGCATACATGTCCGTGGCACTCGTTCCTGACACAGGATTTCCGTCGGTAAGAAAAAAATATGGTGTGGGTGAATAAAATGTTTTGGAGCTGTCGGGCCCGCTGCCAGGCCAGTCGTGGCCTTTCGTGTCGTTAGCTTCAACCGAAAACATACGCGGTGAACAGCTTTTTCTATTCGGAGGGTTTCTCCACGATATTTTTGTCGTTGACCCCGTAGATAGAAAACTCTACGGGGGAGATGTCTTGTGGTATTCGTATATACCTGTACAGTGATTTTGTGATTAGCACCTGCTGGCATCACTGATCGGAAATTTTCAGTGTATAGGCTTAAATAGACTCCAATAAGCTCAGTACCCAGCCGGTTTCCCTCCATTCACTGTAAAGACTTCAACACATCCCGTTCGACTGCTGTGGTCTTATCTCGAATGGGCAGTCTTTCTGTGTTTGTATTTATGTTTTCCTAATAGTCTGATGTTGCACCACATACATGCAAACAGCTGAGCGTTGCCGCGATAGGGAACATCTGCTTCCCCTTGACACATTGCAAACTCGAGCTTCCTGGTTCCCTGATGATATTTGACTGATATTTGACTGTTTAGGTGTCCTGATGATTTCATCGGGATAGAGGCAAATTTCCGAATGGATTGCAAACTCCGGTCCTGGTGTTTGTGCGTCCCATCACCAGAAAAAATGACGTGTCCGGACGCGCTGATCGGAATTTCAGAAGCGAACAACCTGCGCACTGCTGATCTGCTGATACTATGCACACACGCACACCCAGCGGCTGAAACACAACAGCAACGTCTCGCACAACCGTAGAAACTCACCCGCCATGGCCCAATCCCCCCTGTACGTGAAAGCACACCAGTAATAGCTATCTCTGGCCACATGCACAACAGCAAAAATGTGCTCCTTTTCTTGCCGTTGGAAATTCTCTCGCAAATAGATGTGGTGTGATGGCAGATGGGAGTCTTGCTGTTGGAAACACAGCGTAGTCTCGCACATCATTAGAAATGTGTAGGAACACACCCGTCATGGCACAACCCCCCCCCGGATGTGAAAGCACAATCGCGGTGTAGTAACAGACCTGGCTGCGTCCTCTCACACGATGATGATCATGTTTTAACATGTCGAAAATTATGCATAAGATGAAAGAAAAACGAGCAGGAAAAAGATGATACACTCTGTCTGGTGAGATGAAGAGACGAGTCTTGCTTCACAGCAGCAGCAGCGCAGTACCAACCATCAACAGAGAGCGGAGCATCCCCAAAAGCCTTCGCAGGTTCCTGATGATATGTATGGTGTATTTCGCAGGACCAGAATAGATAGGGCGGTGGACGAGGGGAGTAAGCGGAACATACGAATGCATACGAGACCTGCGCCGATGTCATGAAATAAGACGGTTGCCCACGCAACACGGTTGGGCGCTGTTTGCCGCTGTGTTGTTGTCCCTTTCCACACCGCGCTGCCTGATGGGCTCGTGTATGTATAGATACGTGTGTGTCTGTCACCATTGTTCATTTACCCCGGCGGAAGCGCTTATAGGTGCCGATCATCTGGCGGTACCGCTGGTACTGATATGTAGCAGAGGGCGGATGTGTCGGTCGTTGGTGCTCCACTTGAGAGAGCGGCGAGAGCGGGCACAGCAGTCGTGAAGATCCTTCCTGATGCAATTACCAAATGGGCCAAAAGTGCCCTCCCATGATTTCATCGGGGTGGAAGATCTACCTGATGATTTTGCGAATAGACCGTGTGACATTGCAAACTCCATGTTCAGGAATTGCTGGTGATTTGGACCCCAAACAACAGGAAGCTCGAGTTTGCAATGTGTCACCTCTGTCTGCTCTTTGCATGTTCTGCATCACCCCTTGCCGCGGTGCTCTCTTTACCCCACTCCGGAGGGATGCCATGTATTGTAGAAAATAAGAATGTAGCCATATCGTACTAGGAAGAGAGTTCTTGGGCTTGTTTCTCTTTTCTTTTGTTTTCTTAGTGTAGGCTTCTTGACTGAACACCCGTTCTTAGGCGAAGTTGTGAAATTTGATCTTCTCTTGAGCTTGAATTTCTGAACTCCCAAGTTTGGAAGTTCGGGCCTCTTCTGTATCGATACCTCCTCGACCCACCCGTTCGTTCCTACAACACGTACAACAACACCAGCTGATTCCTCGCCTGCCTCTCTCTCTGGTTGGAACTTGATGCTGCTAGTCTGGTAACACCAGGTGTCTCGTGTATGCTTCACCACTCACTACAGAAAGCACTACGCCCAAATACATCCCACATACATGCGTCCCTGCTCCACGCGGTTAGACTCGAACTCGACCACCACTTGCTCTCCCGCACGACAGCTCGGACAGATGCGGATTGAGCCTTCCCAACAGACAAGCAGTTTCCCCAGCTCATGGCCCAACTGCTTGATCGACATCTGCTGCAGGGGCTACTTCTCCTGTCGAACAGACTCCTACTAGCCTTGTGCCGTCTCTCTGCGAACTTGTTTTTCCAATTTTTTTTATCGGTGGATGTACGCATAATCTGTCCACGTCTCGGGTGGAGATTACGTATTCCCGTGGATTTTTCTACCGAACTGCTGACGGGAACGACGGTCTCGTCAATCGTACAAACAAGCAACGGCATGGTGTGGACGTTACACGAATAGAAGCCCCGAACGCGCTTCGGGGACGCGCCCCTTTCACCTTCCCACCAAAGGCCTCGCTGCACACGGAAACAACGGCCCTTGCCGGTGTCGACATTTTTGTCTTTCGTTCTGGTCTCTATGCGAACACTTGAACCAGCAGTGGGTGCTCCTCTTCAGGCGCTACGCAGACTATTTGTTGTTGTCGTGATTGTTGTCTTGGTTGTTTTATCTCAATAGCAGCACGAGCAGAAAGTTCTAACTCATCAGCTTGCTCCTTGAGCAGCTCAGAGCTTGTGGGTGCGAACTTCAGCCTCTTCCGCTCGCGGGCCCCACCTCTGCCTATCCCAAGGCATGGGTTGCGTACGCAAAAGCACCATCCACAAGGTAACCACCATGCGCTGTCCGGCGTGCTGTGTCCTGTCCTCCTCCCAAGATGATGTTTCAAGGACGTATCAAATTTCTTTCTTCCATTCGCGCTCGCCGTTGATTTTGATTTGCCCCCCTTCTGGCGTACCATTTTCGCAGGTCATGACAGGTGAGCTCTTTCAGGGCGTTAAGGAGCGGATGTAGCCAACGTGACCAACGAGAAGGTATCTGTAGCCGAGACCTCTTCGTTTATGCCGACTGCGGTACCGTGCTGCGATTCGCGACCCCAAGGTATGATGGTACGCATGCAATCGTCAAGCGTGTTTCTATTGGCGACGTCTCCGGAAATCGCGGAGGGGGAAGTAGAGGAAACTTGTCTCACTTTTTCGTGGTCTCCGCGCCCCCCTCACAAAAGTACACAACCCTATCCTCTTGGCCGACCGTCGGCAGCTTGTCGTATTTCGCCCGTGTCCACCTTTTCTCCGACCCTAACGGTAGGGTTGGGTTTTTTCCAGTAGAGATTTGGCCTCTGGGTTTGTCCTCTGGACGCCTCATTGTCCTCTTGACGCCGCGTTGCAGTCAATTATTACTCCTTGATCCCCGCGGTGTCCCTGGTTGTACTGCACATTGTGGCGTCACTACTGCTCATACTTTGCCGCCTAACAATTCGTTGGCCTTACTTGCTAGGAGAGAGGGAGTGAGGGCTGCCTCATAGTGTTTCATATGCAACAGCACGAGCTGCTCGAAAGATTCGGCTCTCCGAGATTGGTGACAAGAGTCCTGAAATTCGATATGGAGCTGTTGCCGGTACGATTGGGCGCGTTTTATCCTCCCGAGCTGGAGGGATTTGTTCAGGGGCCAATCGTATCAGCTGTTTAACTCACAACCGCAGCCGACAACGCTGGGCCATGTTCCCGGTGTGTTTGAGAGCGTGCCATCCAGCAGCAGCAGACATGGGCACCCAGAGAAACTACTCAGGGCGTGGTTCCTGTAATTTCAATCTCAAAAAGGCATCGCCAATAAAAGGGTGATTCAGGAAATCATATGATCCCCCTTGCCAACCCCTTGCGTCACATATTGCCCGTATGAAAAGGTCGTACACGTAGCTTGTGTCCAGTAGGGCACTACAATGCTCTTTTGCGAGGCACTGGTGAACAGAATGTGGACACAGCAAGATGGAATTCATTTGTTCGCGAAGGGCAAATAACAAATAACCGTGTGGTATTAGAGGGGGTGATGCATATGCCGTGGACCCCGTAAAAAGAGAGTTTCGTGTGCGTAAAACCCGTTGGTTTGAGTTTCGGCGTGGTTTGTTTTTTGCTGGGGGACTCGCCTCCCCGAAAACTAATCCGATATATGCCGGCCTCAATTCACATGATCGTTCGTTGCTGTCTCATGCTTGCAACGCGTGCTTGACGCGTGCCTGACGCGGACCGTGCAGCGAAGCTTGACCCCCGAGAGATGTGCTGCGTGCTGAAACGCGTTTACTTTCGTGTGGGAGAGTGCTTGCCGCAACGACGCAAAGACGCATTACTCTCGTGGGAGTCTCCCAAGGCCATTCCATGTATTGGCTTGCACACGATGTGTATGTCACACGATGTGTAGAGCTGTGATTCTTGTGTCCGTACCCGCGGCATGCCTTCACAGTAGTGCTTGTACACGCAGAAGGCCTAGATGACCCCACCCCGAAGCTTGCTCAACAATGTCCTCCCGCATGTGACGCCTCCTTGCACAGACTACTGCGACGATTCATACATTTCGGACGGCTACTGCGATGGCGGTAAGTAAGCCTTTGTGCACCTCCTATGTGAGAAGCTGTGTGGGACGTTGCGGCATTCCTTCTGATGATGCAATTCTCATTCCGGTGGCGAGATGTTGTGTGCGACCTCGAGAGCATCGTAAGAGTATGTTGGGTGGCCGCGCTGTAGTTGGCACATATGCCTCCATTGTATTCTCTGTAGTGATTGTCCACCTTGCAACTTTCCTGCTGTTCAAGCCGCCGGTAGCAGCCTGTTTTTTGTAGGTCTTGCCTCAGATGCTTTTTACATTGTACCTCGTTGAAGTCTTTTATGAGCTTCTTGTGGTACTAGTTTTCCAGTCCCGGCTGTTCAGCGTACTTACGATTTCTGCGACATTGGTGGGTACGCATCTCGGATCGCGTTGCCCCGAGGCGTGTTCCTGATCAAATAGGGTGACGCCCCCTAGACAAAAACCCATCCAACATCCAGCTTACCACAAACGCAGCTACGGTTATGCTGAGGTTGAGGCTGTCGGCCAAAGAGTAGACTAAGGGTTCTCCAGGCAGGCGCATCACCCGGGGCTATAGAAATGTACTTCGAAGTTTTTCGCCATGAGGTTACGAGCCCGGTTCTAGAGAAGCTCTGCACATCGCGCGAGAAATCCTTTGAATAGTTTGGCTGTACGAACAACACCAAGGGTAATCAAGAAGCGTTGGACGGTTTGAGGATTGTCATGAAACAGCTGGCAGGGGAACGTGCCCAGGTATTCGTGTCTCGCCACGTATCCCTCGGTTTGTTCTCCGGCGAAGGCTGTTGAACGCCGTCGGCCGCCTTGAGCGCTGTCGGACAGCTGTGCCATGTGGTCGCTGGAATCCCCTGCCGTGTGTTGTCAGCAGCAACCGCTTCTCGCTGTGAGTTTGATTGGTGTGGTAGCAAGCAACCGAAACGCGGGTTGCGCCCTGCTGGCGACGGCGATCCAGCAGTTTCTCCGGGCGCGCCCCCCCGCCTTTGTGATTCCGCTAGGCTGATATGCGTGCCCTTTTCGTCCCGGTTTGTCGCGTCTCCGACATTTGCTCCTCGTTACCCGATGAAAACTCCGCGGAGTGCAATTGGGACGGGGGAGAGTGAGTGCCAGCTTTCTGTTGCACCAAGAGTTGGGGGAGATAAGCGTGGGACGTGGTGTGCTAGCCGGCACACAAGGCCTCTTTTTTGGCGATGTCGCCTTGTGCGATTAGTGACACCCGTATGTTCTCGCTTGCTTGCTGTGGCCCGCTCCGAAACCTTGGAAGAATCGGGGTGATCAGGCGGGTTGACAACTCTGCACACTCCACGGTGATCTAGGAAAAGACGTGGAGGTCAATACCCGCCTCACCTGTTTCGCGTGCGTTCCATGCTCCATAGTGTTCCCCGCTGGCTAGAAACTGCCTCACGCGTCCCCCACGCCTACCTACGACCCAATTAAGTGGTGAGTATTTCCGCGCCCGCACAACTGCAGCCGAATCTAGCTGCTCTACTAGGTAAGTACGAGGCTTATCAACAATAGGCGTTTGCGAGTGGCACCGCCTCCTCCGCGACGCGAACTATCTCACGTGGTTTGCCACCCTCCGTCCAACTTGACGGGTGTCTTCTTTTTTTTTGTTTCCACTCTTGCGGGATATCCAGCTGCTGTGAGTGCGACTGCGTCGATGCCGACTATACCTGCGGCTATAACGGATACGACTGCCTCGATCCTTCCGCGTGTGGTATCAGCAGCGGTGAGTTGACCTTGCGGGTGTGTTCGTCGCCTCTGGCGATGTGGCTCTGAGAAGACGAAGCATGCAATTCTTTCCGGTGAACCGGTCGTTCGCGGGTCCGAATTTCACGTTCACGTGTGCACATTCTCCCGTGTTTGACTTCTAGCCAGCGGTGGCGGCTGTCGAGGGCAAATGTCGGATCCGCTGCAGATATTTTGGGTTTTTCTCATAAGGCTGCATGTTTTAATACAGTGTTCGATGGGGGTAGGTCTCCTCCACGTGTGTCCGAGTTTTGTTGCTGTTGCTGTTGTTGTTGTTGTTGTTGTTGTTGTTGTTGTTGTTGTTGTTGTTGTTGTTGTTGTTGTTGTTGTTGTTGTTGTTGTTGTTGTTGCTGTTGCTGGTATTGCTGTGGTGCCTGTGTATTGAGAATATGGCCTCTTTTCTTCTTCTGTTGGGCCAGTCTTTATGGACTGCTGCCGGCACCACGTGTTCCCGTGCATTGGCCACCACACTGCCGAAATGCTGCAGCCCGTGGCGCATGTCGTGGTTTACGCAGACCGAGAAATCCAGAGTGTTTTGGCTGCTTCGGTCTAGACAGGTTGGAGGATGTGTCCGCAGCCAGTGGATCGTCCGTTGCGTTCACGCGACACCAATAACGCGCGTTCGCCCGTGTCATCCGTCCCACCCGGCTCGGTCCCATTTTTCCTTGTTGGCATATGTGCAAACCTGCGTTGTCTCTGCGCCGTTTCCCAACTTTTGGCGACGACTATGGTGCTGTGCGCTCCGCCGACGCCGACGCCGACTCCTTCTCCGACTGTGAGGAACTTTTAGATGAAAGTTTGTTGTCGAAGACGGAACAAACTGTAGTTTTTTGTGCACGGAAGAATTGGCAGCCTCTCCCAGATCTATGTGTTTATTCTTGTTGTGCCGCCCTGGAGGCGCGTTGGTTCGGATGTCTTGGTTCGGTTTTCTGGGGCCCCAAAAAGAGAAAGGTCTCACGGAGTTCTCATTCTGATGCCTCGCTGCTCCTGCGGCAAGAGTTTGATAGACGCTTGTCCACTGGACCCAAGGGCCACGTTGTGAGAAAGACAAAATGTGTACCATGCAGCCCGCTTTGGGTGGGGCACGCGGCAAGAGAAGGGCAGCAGCTAGCTACATCGAAATTCGGACGATAGCTAGCAATCATGTCTTGGCTTTTCTCCAGCCCACCCACCCCTTTTCTTTCGAAGGTGGGGGATAGGAGAGATGTTACGAGTGAGGCTCACTTTGAAGAGCCCTCTTAATATTGTCTGTGACTCGGAGGAGCCACCTTTGCTATGTGGAAGCAAGTTAGCGTAGCATGGGGTGTTTTCTGAATGGTAGCGTACCATTGGGGGGGTCAATCGTCCGAGACTGCTACAACAGTTTCGTCCCGTCTGGTGGTATTCGGAGGGAGATTTGTGTTTAGTAGCAGAGACACGTTAGGATATCGCGGAGGCTTTGTACCGTGCCGGCCGTGTGGTACGGGGGAAGTCTCCCTCCGTAGGCCACAGAAAATATTAATCATGGAAATTGTAAAGGAAAACAATAAACTTTGGTGCACGTTCGATCTCACGCAACGCGTTACCCGAATAGGGGCGCGACGCCCACCGCCAGGGACCGGGGGGTATTCTATTTTTTCATTCATCCGCCGTTTGCGGCTTTGTCGTCGGCAGCAGTAGACTTTCCTGGTATTGCAAGCGACTAGCCCCCATGCTACATCGCTTACGGGGCGTCTGGTGACTGGTGACTATCTCACTGTGGCGTCGTTCCCTCCCTTACCGGTGCCTTTTCTCCGGCCTCCTGTGCATCATCTGCGGCGGGACCCCGTCCATTGCCGACGATATACCGCCGATACTGCGGACTTCAATAGATGAAGAAGATGATGGTGGTGAGATTCTCTTGTCTTGGTGTGATCGGTGCAGCCCCGATCAAGCAGCGCTTGACATGTCCTCATTGCAAGACCGTTCGTTCTGTACCCTTCCAATGTTATGCTTTGACTCGATACCGCAGCGGTCTACGCTAGTAGCACCGTAGCACCGGTTCCGGATGTTTTGTCCACAAGCCGCCTGAATGTTAATGTTGCTGCATTTTCCATTTGCCAAGACTGCCCTCAGCAAGAGGCTGTGATCGCGAGTTCATTCGAAAACAACTTCCTTTCTACTTTTGCTGGACCTCGTTAATTTTTCCACCCCAAGTCGTCGAAGCTCTCGAACCGGAATTGGGCAGCACTTACCCCAGCAGAATAGAAACAATGGAACACTCCTTGCAGCTTGGGTTCGCCTCAGAGACAAAGAGCAAGCTCTCCTGCTTCTGCGCGGGGCGTAGATCACTAACCCGAAGGTGCCGAACGGTGCTCTCCCTGCTCCCCCCGTGGCGTATCCCGGCTGCCTGCGGCGACCTGCGATGGGAATGCCAGGCGATGGCTCAGACGTTATTTACCGAAAGATATCGAAGATGGGCTGAGTGATGCGATGATGTTCCTGATGATGCCGTGGAAAAAAATTGTGGGAGAACGAATACCCGTGAGAGCAGTTCTAAGCACGCGGACTACTTCCAGATTCAAGAGTATGATTGTCGTGGAACGTGGAGTGTTGCGCCCAGTTTAAGCTGGGGCCGCCTTTAAATCCAATCAGATTGTGTTCGATACACCCGACAAAGGCGAAATGATGTATTTTCCCGTTTCTTCGCGCACCCCTGCGGATCGATACGAACACCGTTGCCACCTTTCTTCTCGCTGCCACCCCGCTCTTGAATCATTGGCTGTTTCTTTGTCTAAAACAACCCCGCCCTTTCCCGACGCGCACAATTTATCAGCGCCGGTGGGCGCCATCGTTGGCGGTGTGATAGGCGCGCTGCTCTTGATCGTCGTCGTGATCGTCTTGGTGGTCTTGTTCAAGAAAGGTCACCTAAAGCCTTGCGCATGCGGCGAAGCTTGCGCATGCTGCGAGCCCGGTGCTCCTGCTGCAACTCCTGCTCCTGCTCCCGCCCCTGCTGGTGTTATGTCGGCGCCGTCAGTTGGAAAGGCGTATCCCGAGGTGCACTCTTCCGCTGCCGTTGCGCCTCCCCCCCCTCCTGCGTACGAGGGTCCTGGCAACGCTCAGCCCCCCGCTCAAGCGTACCCGGTGCCTGCAGCAACTGCCGCTCCTCCCGCGTACGAGGGTCCAGTGGTCAACCAGTTTCCCGCGCCGGCGTAAGTGCAGGGGGTTGTACGGTCGAGGTGTGGCGAGCGTTTACCTTCGTGTCTGTTGTATTCTGTTGGTTGTTTAAGGTTGACCAGAGTATTTTTCCCAGCAAGCAGCCTCTTGTTAGCCGAGTAGGTGATGTGTTGCATCCATGTCGGCCTAGAAGAGATTCGCCGAACTGCGCGGATTACCCAAGAGTTTCTTTTTGCTGTGTTTTCGACCTAGGAACGTGTACGGACGGTTTGATATCTACATTTTCTATTTTGTCAGGACAACAAGTTGGAAGGCACCAACGACCAACGATGGATATCGACTAGATTTTTCGATGGCTCGATCGAATGGAATTCGTTGTTTTTCTCACGGGAGGTCACGTCAGCACGTTCACGTTGGTACTTTGTTCCGAAGGTTGCAGGATACCCCGCAGAGCTATCCATCCCGTGTGTTGCTGTCCTCTGGACGTGGACTTTGGGTATATCGTCTGTTCAACATCCTACGGGCATCGGTTGACTGGCTCCCGCGGCGATGACTTGTCAGGGGATCTTTTGCGAGCATGATGGAGGGTGTTTGTGAACCACGCCATGAGGTTTGCAGCAATACCGCCCACCATCCAAGTTCCGTGCCCAGAAGGTGGACGTATTTTCACCTTGTTGCGTACGCCTGAGTCGTTGGGGCCGTAGCGTGAGTGTTTGCTGAAGTTAACACGTGTTCTGCGTGGGATCGTGAGAAAAGTGGTACCTGATCCTTACAGCTTCGTTTCCGTCCTCCTTCGGCGCGTCAGAAGTCACTGCAGTATTCAGAGGTCGTTTGGCTTAAATTCCGCCTCAAATCGAGGTTGACGGGCGGCAGCGAATCACAGAGTAAGCGACATGTGGAGTTTGTATAGTGCCAGAGTGTACGCATGTTCTCCTTCCGGAGGTGGAAACCAAGCTGAGTTGAGATGTTGGTACGCTCTTCTCCGAGGGTGCATCGTGCCGCAGAGGGACACATTATGGGTTATTGTTTTCGTCTTATTTATTATGGCGACATTCCCCACATTTGTCGTGATGCGATCTGTCCCACGTTGCTCAGTGTATGTAGCGTGCTACACTTTTCAGTGTATTTTTTCGTATAACTACGGTACAACCGTCCTGGGTGACACAGGAGGGGGTAAACATCAGGATTTTTTTCTTTTTTTTCGTACGCATCTTTCCCTTTGCGTTTGCGGTGCGCACTGAATATGTGTTTTTTTATCGCGAGGAGGGTCCAGCCGTCCCTTTCCCTTGTCGACGGTGCTAACGTCAAAGTTTGGTAACTCACGAGAGCTTTTCCGCCTTTTTTTCGCTCTCACTGAAGTCGTAATTTCTTATCCCCATGGGTATTCGATCTCACGACTTTGCCACTATTGTAGCGGTTTGGAGGTTACCACTAGACAACCAGGGCAAGTATAGCCTTGAGCAATCCCGCGTACGTCAGTAGTATTTCTGATCTCACTCACGGCACACACTCCACGGACGGAAAATACTTAACGCACCATTCTGTGCAGGATCGCCGCGTTGACTAGATGACGTACATCAGCATCAAGTTCGTGGGTATTTCTCTGGAGTTGCAAACACGGGAGTGTTGACCCGACTAGACTAAATGATGGGAGGGCCTGGTAAAGACGACGAGAGCTCTCAAATTATATTTAGGGACATAAAATGTTTGGGTGCGGTAGCCCGTCAGAGGCCGAAAGAGAACGAAGGTTGACTCAAGACCTTGGTTGATTAGAGAGTGAGAGACATGCGGTAGGCAACACCATCGCCATGCAGCATGCCCATCAACACATTTCATCCGCGTACCCCCCGGAGGCCCCGTAGACAGTATACTCTGCCGAGCACCCCAAACAGCCCCCCTGCTCGGTACGAGATACGATCTACGAAATCCCCGCCACGATTATCATTGCCAGGTAAAACGGCGATGAATCAAACTACGCATCCAAACGGAAATCATCCACCATTCATTCCATTTCAAACAATTTCCCAATAAAACAATGTTCTACGAAATCTGTCGATCTCCCAATAAAACATGCTCTACGAAATCTTTCAAATCTTCTGATGATATCAAATAACTATCTCCTAAAAGGTCTGTCAATAAACAGTTCACCCTCTTGAGAAAAATGCTTTACCAAATTCTCAAGAAGTCAAAACACAAACAAATACCCTTGGAAAAATACCCAGCAAAGATACACATTACATCAGAATCACGTCAGAACGGGGACGGGTGACTCCGGGAAAATGTGTCCAACGTCCTGACTTACTCAGAACAAATTCCTCAGATAAACATTCATGTTTCAACTCATTGACCAGCTCAAATAACCTTCGGAAGCACAAAGGCTTCAACCATGACTTACGAGAACATGCCAAATCCTTCCTCCAATACCCAATACCTTGACAAATATACCAGTGCACCAGCAGCCCCCCTGCTGTAACATCCATCCATCCCAAACACGAAGAAACCAAACAAACAAGTCCAAAACAAACATGAAGAAACCAACAAATCCAAAACAGACAATCAATAATCTCGCATCCCCCCTGCTGGGACATCTCATATAAACGCAACGAAAATCACATTCAATATTCAATTCCATGTCACCTCCGCAGGTAAAACGCGGAAAACGATCCAAACATGAACTACCCAAATCCCATTAGCCAACATCAATTCCATATAAAATCCCCAGGGAAAACACGGAAAATCTCAACATGAACTACCACCCGATGTCAGAAACACTGCTTGTTGTGCTGCAGCGGACAGCATGGTATCACATCCCCCCCCCCATGATTTCCGACAGCAGTGCAACAATCAGGCGTGATTCCGCAAAATCCAGCATGCCAATTCTGCATCCAACTTCATCAACTCCAAACCGAAACAAGAAAACAAAACATATCAAAGAAAAGGCGTCACACGTCCAGCACATACCAGTCTGCCGTACAGGCCTACTTGAGAAGGAAAATTGCTACTCCGCAAGGATTGACTCGTCGGGTACGGTACATCGGAGGGACAGAGAAACGGTGCGTGCCCCCCAACGTCTTTACCCAGCACGTCGCACGCCAAGCCAACGCCTACTTACATATATCCAGTACCATCAGAAAAACATAGCGGTAACTATCATAGAGAATGTTATCCCAACAAAGAAGGAAAAACCAAAGTGGAACAAACCGTACGCAGAAACTATACTACCACCGCCATTTGAGATATTTTCCTGGCAAACAACAGCCCCCCGGCCGCAACATTCCATTTGCCTCCCAGAAAAACAATAATCTACCATGGAGATTCCCTGCCATTTGGCCGTGGAAATTAGTGTTCCTGCAAGGTAAAACGCGGGTGGGCATCTCTACAAAACAAAACAAAAACAAATCTAAACCTGCAAATGTGCCAACGATAGGAAAAATGCAGAATTGTATCTGAAGATCAAAATACAAGAACAGCATCCTGCACAAAACAATTTTCAGAAAAGTGACAATAATACGCAAACAAACATCACGTGCCTTGGCGAGTTTAAGACCCCAGCAGAAGTCGCGCTGCTTGCCGTCATTGTTGGACTCGCCCGGTCCTCCGAACTCCCTTCCCCGCTTCATGATCCTCCTGTCGTTGTTCCGGTCGCGAACACGGGCTCCCCGGCCGTTGCCCCCGCGACATCTTTCCACGGTCGAACGGGGTGTCCATCCCCATCACCAGCCCCACTCTCCTAGCCTTCAGCCGGCACAGCTTCCTCGGGTCGAAGGGGCGCAGCAGTGCCCCAAACCAGGCCACATCCATCCCCTCTGCCTCGTCGTTGCTACTGCTGCCGATGCTGCTGCCGCTACTGCTGCTGGAGCCATCGACCAGGTCGTCCACCCCGGGATAGTTGGCGCCGCGCACCCCCGAACACACGGTGCCGGGATCGAAAGGGTGCGTGGACGCCCCCCTCTCGCCACAGACGCTGTCACCCCAGCAGTCATCAACCTCACCTGCGCACCAACCGCCATCATCTCTACCGTCGTCGATGCCGTTGACCACCGCTTCTCCGTTGCTGGCCGCCCCCCCAACCGATATGGTGGGGGAAACGTTACCGACGGTTGCCATCGTAGCGGCCGGTGCCGTCGCCGCGGTCGCGGGTCGTGCCGTCACCGATGTCGCCACTCCAGCCGCCGATGCCGCCACTGTAGCCACCTGCGCGGGCTCTCGAGCCATTCTCCCCGCCGCCGCAGCGGGAGAAACAACACCGTCGGGTGCCGCCGCCGTCGCCGCTGGAACCGCCGTCGATACCAACGCTCCAACCACCATCGCGGGCGCTCCGGTTGTTCTCCCCGCCACCGTCGCGGAGATAACAGTGTCGCCGGGCACCGCCGCCGTCGCCGCTGGAGCTGCCGCCGATGCCGCCGCTCGTGCTGCCACGGCGGGGACTGGGGTCATTCTCCCTGCCGCCGTCGCGGGGGGAACACTGTCGCCAGAGGTCACCGCCGTTGCCGCTGGAGCTGCTGCCGATGCCGCCGCTCCTGCCGCCACCGCGGGGACCCCGGCCGTTCCCCCCGCCGCCGCCGCGGGGAAAACACTGCCGCCGGAGATCGCCGCCGTCGCCGCTGGAGCTGCTGCCGATGCCGCCACTCCAGTCGCCAACGCAGGCGCTCCGGCCATTTCTCCCGCCCCAGCAGCGGGGAAAACATCATCGCAGACACTGCCACCAGCGTGAACCATGTCCACAGAATCATTCCATCCAAACCATCCGTCATCATCACCGTCCACAGCGCCGCCAGCGTGAACCACGTCGACGAAATCAGAGCGGTACTCGCTCTCTGCCATCACCTCGCCGCCAACGTGAACCAGGTCGACAAAATCAGAGCGGTACTCGCTCTCTACCACTACCTGCTGCTGTACGACCGAGCTTCCACCGATGTCCATGCAGCTGCCGCCGCCATTGACGCCCATCCAGCAGCCACCGCGGACGATACGGCCGTCATCCTCGCCGCTGCTGCCATGAAGATGCACGGCGCAGTTCCACCACATATGGCCGTACTGACCACAGGCGCCGCACGTACCCTCGAACCTGCGGGGTGCGGCGCATTCTTCGCCGTGGTGGCCGTTCCTGCCGCACCGAGTGCAATGGTATACCGTACCAGGCGGAGGGGGTGATTCCTGCTGGAAATACACGGCGTTGCTCCCGCAGTCATATATCCCACCAACTCCGGTTGGCGGCAGCTGCTGTTGCTGCCGCGCCAACTGCTGGTGCTGCCGCGCCTGGTGGCTCTGAGTGAAAACGCAGTGTTGGTTCTGCTGAAGGACAAAACCACCACGAGAACACTGCTGTACCTGCGATGGCTGCTGCTGCCATTGAGCACTCCATCGCTGCTGCTGCTGTTGTTGTTGTTGCTGCCGCCTAAGTCTCTCCTTCTCATACTCGGCAGCCTCCGCAGCTCTGAGCACCTTCACCAGCCTCTCCACCTCCGACTCGGCAGCTCGTAGCTTCTCTGCTGCGTTGCGCGACCT